AGGATTATTTGTCTGAGAGGTTGCAGCAGCCAGGGCCTCCCAAATCTAAAGTTAGTACACGATCCCAGGGTGGGACCAAAGCCTGAGCCTGCCTGAGTCCTGCTGCCCTAGGTGGGAGGACCAGAGCCGAAGCCCGAGCCCCAGTGCTCTGGTTGGGGAGCGGGGGTGGGTTCAAAGCCGAAGCCCAAGGGCTTCAGCCTGAGGCAGGGAGCCTGTAACCTGAGCCTTGCTGCCGAGAGCTGAAGCCCTTGGACTTCAGCCCCTGGGTGGTGAGCCTTGGGCTTTGGCCCCAGGCCCCAGCAAGTCTAAACCAACCCTGGTGACCCCATTAAAATGTGATCGTGACCCACTTTGGGGTCCCGATTCAGAGTTTGAAAACTGCTGCACTAGAGCTCAGGCAGCCTATGTGACCTGTGTGATGAGAGGCCCTATTTCTGAAATTTGTAGGGCAGCTAAGTGGAGTTTGGTCCACACATTTACAAAACACTGCTCTTAAGTCAAGGCTTCCAGACCAGATGCCAACTTTAGTAGGACTGTCTACAATTATTGTTAAAGAAGGACTCCTAATATCCACCTCCAATCAGACAGACAATTATTTTAGGGCTTGTTTATGTGGATGCTTTGTGGGTGGAAAGCCAGGGTGTAAATCTACAGCACACTAGCTTGCCACATGTTAACTGGTTGTGTGACCCTGCTACCATGCACTAGAAGTTCCACAGTGCACTTGGATATACATACCAGTGTTGTTAAATAATAATCTGCAGTGTTATGAATCCTAAATTCTGGACACAGCTTTTTAAGTTTTCTGATTGACTCTGTGATCTACTTACCTAGGTTTTTATTGTATCCACTATTGTGGTGTCTTTATTCCTTAATGTTGTATCTTTGCCAGTAATAAAAAATAAATGGAGGGAATTACCTTTCCCATCAAGTTTTTGTTTAGAAATGCTAATTGAATTGTATTTTTGGTGAATTATTGTTTCTCTTAGATGACTGAAATTCCTTGCCCTTTTTTGCTTTGTGACTCAGTGTATTTGATGTGTGAAATAATCCTTCAGAAATTCATTATATGACCTGGCTTATTTTGCCTTGATTCATTATTCTGATGCTCTACTATACTTTGACACAACTCTTAGTTCTGTATATATTTTAATGCGTTACATTATTACCTAGACTTTTTATTTTTTACTACTTTTCCCTCTAAAGACAACTTTCAGCTCTATACAAGCATAGATTACTTTACCTATCTCGGCTGTATTTTGCACTCTCTATTTTTCTGTTAAATTATTCATTAATCTGCCCACCCAACCATATTTTTAATTCCTTCTGTAGACTTGCACCTTGCAGCTTGTGATTCTGCATTGATAAATACTAATCACATTTGAAATCTATTCCTATTGCCCAGCTGCTGACTAGGATATGCAAAACATGCCTTAATGTGGCATGCCTTTATTTACAGTGTGTCAAAACCATTCCAGAGAGTGACTAAAAATTGTGGAATGTTCTGGAATAAAACGATCAAGCTGCTGGAAAAGGCTTTAAATAGATTTTGTCTGTCACTCACCATTTGGCAACTGAGTCTTGCCATGTAAAATCATTGTTGAGACTGACATGTCTATCTGCTCAATTTAGCATTCTTCAAATTTGAGTGCATCAAAATCAACTGAATCTGCAGGACTTGATCTTCAAATGTTTGATCAGAATTTGTTTTGAACTGGACTGTTTTATGCATACAGTATTTAAAAAATGAAGATAAACACGAGCAATCTATGAATATTCCAACAGGCTGTACCCTTGATGTTAATTTTTACTACTTTGGAACAAAAATTTTTTTTATCCAAAACAATTATATTTTTACATTTATGTTTATTTTTTTTCTGTTATGTGAAAGGATGTTAAAATGGATAATTCTACTGTTCTTTTGATATGTGCATGTCCCACATTAGCACAGAGCATCTATGGAGAATTGAAAGACTACCTTTCAAGTGTCACTCAGTCAACTGCCAGTTTGCAATTGGCTCTTTAGAATTAAACTCATTGTGAAGTGATGGCATAGCATGCTAACACATAGTAAAGAAAACCAAACTGCTTTTTATTTCTGAGTTTTGAATTTTAGAACTGCTTATTAGGAACTGTAACTGTAATTCTTTAAAACAAGTTGATTTTATAATATTTTTCTACTCCTGAGACTTCATTTCCTTATGTGATAGTGTGTTTGGTTTGCACTGTAACTAACATTCTAAATGACTAATCTACTTTACCACCAGATGAAGCAGCCTAGTTTTCAGTCCTGCAGTCATTATTTAATTAGTACTCAGAACATTATCCATGAAGGCTGTGATTATTTGCTATCCTCTCAAGAGTGTGGAATCCACGTAGTAGTCCTGGGAGAATTCTGCGCCAAAAAATAAAAAATTCTGCAACAAAAAATTAAAAAACCTGTGCACAATATTTTCAAATTCTGCAAAATTCTGCATATTTTATTTGTTAAAATAAATAATTCAAATATAATCATACCAGTTTCAAGTATTTTTGGTCCTTCATTTCAAAATACCTGCCAGCAAGTATGTCTGTAACAATACTGACGACAAAAAAATCAGAAAATGTTTTTTGATAAATAGATTCCTTAGTAGACATATTAATATAGAACTCTGAGCAATAATTCATTTAAACTACAATACAGAACCATATTTCCCATACACCCCATAAGCGGTGCAAAAGCTGGGGGGTAGTCTTGGGTAATGGAGGAGCTGAGGGAGAGGGAAATAATTGCTGGGAAGGATCCTGGGTGTGAACTTGAATGGTTGTTGGGTATGGGGGGGGGGGGATATGGTTTTTTGGGGGGGGGGCAGGGAGGGACTGTTAGGGAGCTCCCCCCATGCAGACCCTG